GAATTCATGAGAAAAAAAAGTATTGTGTTTAATATTTGTTTTTCCATATACAAACACAGGAAAACATTAATGTAATGTCCTAGAAAAATATGACTTGAAAGCCAAGTGTCTCATGAGTTTATATTTCAAATTTGATTAAAGTACCATCTTTTTTATTTAGGGTTTTTACATATCAATATATAAAAGTATAAATTATTATATAATTAGCAGACTACTTGCAATTCATGTTGGGAAAGCAAGAATATTTAGCATTAATTGCAATTACACCATACAGAATTAAATGATAATAAATACCCTTTATCAGTGATGTCCTAGGGCCAGAGGGCTGAGGTAGGCCCATAACCTTTGATTTGGCCCACCATCCCATCTGATAAGAAAGGAAGAAGCTAACTGAAAAAGCTAACTAAAATAAATGTTTCAATTAAATGGCGAAAATTAATCAGATTTTGTTTAAATGTATATACTGTCACCCGACAATGGATGACGAATGAGATTGATAAAGTATGATGTGGATGTTTCAATGTTTAGTGTATTTAGCATTGAACTTTACGGTGTCATAAATGTGATTATGTTTTTATTGCATTCATTTATAATTTTAAAAAGTAATACTGCATTAGTTAAAACGATTTAAAATAATGTTTTCTATTTATTTTGAAATGCCCGATCTCGTCTAATCTCGGAAGTAAAGCAGGGTTGGGCCTGGTTAGTACTTGGATTGGAGACTGCCTGGGAATATCGGGTGCTGTAAGCTTACTGAACTCTTTATAGGGCAATGCAGTGGCGCAGTAGGTAGTGCTGTTGCCTCACAGCAAGAAGGTTGCTTGTTCGAGCCTCAGCTGGGTCGATTGGTGTTTCTGTGTGGAGTTTGCATGTTCTCCCTGCATTCACGTGGGTTTCCTCCAGGTGCTCCGGTTTCCACCACTGTCCAAAGACATGCAGTACAGGTGAATTGGGTAAGGTAAAATGTCCGCAGTGTATGTGTGTGAATGAGCGTGTATGGATGTTTCCCAGAGATGGGTTGCGGCTGAAAGGGCATCCATTGCGTAAAACATGTGCTGGATAAGTTGGATTAATAAAGAGACCAAGCTGAAAGAAAATGAATTAATTTATTTTTAAATATTATTAAATAAATTAGGAAACTACCCATGGTACCCATTGGTATATTTACCTTTGGCCCACGGTTCTTAATGATATTTGGTTTTGGCCATTCATACAAAAAAGTTTGGGCACCCCTGCCCTATATGATACATAATGATAATGATACATACATGATATACATAATAATTAAATAAATTCAAATTACATTCTTACTTTCTTGTTTAAAAAAATGGCTAAAGTAAAATAAAGGACTGGCATGGTGGCTCAGTGGTTAGCACTATTGCCTCACAGCAACATGGTCATTGGTTCAAATCCTGGCTGGACCAGTTGGCATTTCTGTGTGGAGCTTGCATGTTCTCCTCGTGTTGGCGTGGGTTTCCTCCAGGAGCTCCAGCTTCCCCCAAAATCTAAAGACATGTGAAATAAGTGAATTGAATAAACTAAACTGGCCGTAGAGTATGAGAGTATGAGTGTGGCAAGGTAAGAGTGTATGGGTGTTTCCTAGTACTGGGTTGCAGCTGGAAGGGTATCCGCTGTGCAAAACATATGCTGAATAAGTTTGCGGTTCATTTCACTGAGTTGACACCTGATAAATAAGAATAAAGCCGAAAGAAAATGAATGAATGAATGAATGAATGAAAATAAATAATTAATAATTTGGGATTTTAATAAATAATTTTGTTTGATAAATAAATAAGGAATTAATAAAATAATAATAATAATAATAATAATAATAATAATAATAATAATAATAATAATAATAATGATAATAATAATAACATTACTATTAGTATTATTGTCTTGAACTCAACTGATCATATGCTAGGCTATACTTCTTATATTTTCATCTTGGTTTTAAAACATTTCAAATAGCGCTCAACGCACGTCATTATGTTTCTATGGTGATGACGCTTTGGGTCAAATAAATTTCGCTTGACACAATAAGCTCCCCATAAACTTTAACTTACCTTATCCCACTGTACATCACTGACAGCAAGACGACAAAAAGTGTACTAGTATCGTGTACGTGCGTTTCACCTGCGCCAGAGGCCCGCTGAAGTGCGCGCGCGTGTGTGTTTTCCTCAGTATCCCAGCATGCACCGCTTTATTTAGTGTTGTATCTCCGGGAGATGACAGACACAGCCCTCTCTCTCTCTCCTTCTCTCTCTGCCCCAGCGAGGAGACCAAAACCCCGCAGATCTCTCCTCTCAACAGCCCACAGACAGCAGAAGCGACCCCATCACCATTCAGTCGTTCCAGCGCGTCTTTCTGGTAGGTGTCGGCCGCGTCTTTGCGCCTTGCTCCGGTGTAATAATGCGGGCAGCTCGCATCTCTGCTGCACCTGCTCGCTCTCCAGCCTTTGACTGTTTTAAAGCTCACTGTTCTACATGATGTTTAAATGAATGTTGCCAGGTATATTTTGAGTGTAGAGTGTAAGAGCATATTAATCAGGTTGTGTGTGCGTCTGCTGCTTGTTGCGTATTTATTTTCGGACGGATGAGATCATTAATCGACCAGAATGAGTCGCTGCTGGCTGATTATTGTGACAGTAACTGGAGACGACGGTGTTATAAAGTGGCATATAGGTGTCATTGGACACTTATTAACAGGAACACGTTCTTGACTGCTTGTTTTGAATGTCAAGTGTGCATCATACGATATTTGGTATAATTCGCATTAATTCCATGCTGCGTGAATTATACTACTTAAACCATCATCAATTGGTACAGATTTTTAAAGTATATATTTTTGTATGCTTATTATTGATTGAAAGCCTTTGTTTGTAGCTTTACTTATTATCAGTATTGTTTTGGACACGTGCTGCTGTTTTTTTTTTCTGCAAAACTGCAACAGACGCCTTCTTCTGTTTTCATACCTGTTAAGTGCATTCTGATGTAATTGTTTTTATTTTAGGATGGTGGTTTATATGGGTGATTGCTGCGCTGTCCGCAATGCAGGTGCTGTTTATGATCCTGCTCATCCCTAGCCATTCTCACGTGCATGTGTTGATGTGCACTGGCCAATCAGATGCTGCCATGAAAGTCCCACATTTTGTCACTCATGAACAATTTTCGCCATTCTATGAGCAGCATATGCTTGGTGTTCTTTAATAAGTGGTTTGTCTAATAATAGAAACGTCTGATTATGAACTGTATGTCTGCTGCTGCTATTGTTGCAAATGTAATGTCATCATACTATGTTACATCATGCAGGAGTGTAGTGGGTGTGACCTCTTGGAAGCACTGGATGTTTGCGTGTGACTAGGATACAGCAGTGTTTTTAGAGTCTCTTCTATCTGCAGCTCATTGATAATTAATGGGGAGATGAGAGAGAATTTGGAGGGCTAGAAAAAGAGCTGCTTAAGGGACATTTCACCCCCCAAAATGCACATTTGTTGATATGTTAACTTTCAGATAGTTATAAGAAGGTCCATATGTAATCTGCACCACAGAAATCCACAGATTTTTACCACATCATTGAGTCTATTTGTATTCTTGTTTAAATGTGTGTAAATTTACCAGTGGCATAAAACACTAAACTCTGGCAATTGTTTTACACAATGGATGCCCTTCCAGCCACAACCAAACCAAAGTTTCAGTGTGTCCCTTTCATTTTTTTAGGTACAAACAATTGTTTACAATTGTTCAAAAAGGTCAAAATTACAAAGGTTAAAAAAAAAAAGGATTTGATAACAAAATTGTTTTTGCTTTTTTTTTTAAGTCGGGGGTATCATTTGTTTTTGTTTTTTTATGAATTTGCATGACTAAACCCAAGGAATATTTAGAGGCAAATAACTTCTGAACAGAGCTGTCACTAAAAAATAAAAAATAAATACAAAAATGCAGAAAAAGGGTAGGAAACATGTCACATTTTGAAAGTTAAAATGTATAGACATTTTAAGAAAGAATTAATTGACCTGTTGAGAGAATGACGGTACACTCAGCTCCAAAACCATTAATGAGCTGCAGTTGCATATTTGATAAAAAAAAAAAAAAAAAAATTAAATAAATAAATAAATTATTAAAAAAAAAAAAAAAAATATATATATATATATATATATATATATATATATATATATATATATATATATATATATATATATATATATATTCAGTTTTTAAAATTAATCTTAGTAATATTGACTAATATGTATCATTTATTATTTTGGCTGATTTAAACAATTATAAATATCATAAAACAGAAACATTTTGATGTTCTGATAGCGATATGTAGAAGAATCCCTTCCTGCCCTCCATTTCATTTTCACACGTTGTTAATAACGTCGTGAAAACAATCTATTAAGGTTTAGTTACAATACTCCCAAAATCATTCCGCATAAATCTGCTGATTGTTTTTTACAAAATTCTATGCGGAAACAGCAAAAAATGGCCGCAGATTCTTTCTGGCCCTAGTTATAAGTAGGGCTGCACAATATATCATTTTAGCATTGATATTGCAATGTGATAGTCACGTTGTAGGTTTACACAATGTTGAGTCTGAATTACAATTTATAGTTTCTCAAGTGTTTTTAAGGCCTGTGACTGTGTAAGGGTTTTAAAAGCATTCAGGCATAAGAAATTGTACCTTTGAAAGTTTGAATAACTAATAACCATGTTTGGTCACAATTAACAATAAGGTTTTATTAATGCATTTACTAGCGTGAACTAAATATGAACATGAACAAATACTGTAAAAAAAATGCACTGTTCGTTGTTTATTCATGTTAGAAAATGCATTGAATAACATTAAGTAATGCAACCTTATTGTAAAGTGTTACCAATTCTTCATAAAATGAAGTCTATGCAGTATTATTTTATTTAATTATTTAATTACTGCATACCTGAATACATTTCGACTTCCTCTGAAAACAATAGGATGCTGTTTAATTTAATTTGTATCTTTTTCTTTATTGAATTTTTCTATGCTTATAGATTCTTTGTTATATCATGCACTCACCTACAGAATCACCCCAGTCAATCTAAATTCATAAATTATTTTTTAAACAGTTATTACACTCATCTTGTGAAATTGTATTCACAACGCAATATATATCACAGAATTAAAAATATCGCAATGTTAGATTTTTTTCAATATGGTACAGTCCTAGTTATATATGTTGTCAGGTCAGAGGTACAGGTATAAGCCACTTTGTTTTCCAGTAAAACATTACAGAAGATTTGTATTTGTAACTGTTTGGTTTCTTTAATGAAAGACACGCCACACTTTTAGAGTGAGAAAAAAAAACCCCAAAAAAACATACATGCTAAACAAATTTAACACGCGTGGCTCCTGATGGTTTTATTGATGTCCGAAGCAAAAATAATAGGTCTGTGCAAGGAGCTGAACATTGTTTACAACATTATTATAACCTAATTCACAGCTACTGTAACACCTCCTGAGTCTTTTCATAATGTATGGAGCACAAACTTTATAATGATGTAAATCAAAGTTGATAATTTGTCCATCCAAACATAATCTTACTATTATACAGCATATATGTTGCAGCATTCAGGATAGGCACTATAACATTTTGATTAGTTTGAAATCTGCTTTCTACAGTTGCATCTCAATAACTTAGAATGTCATGGAAAAGTTGATTTATTTCAGTGATTCAACTTAAATTGTGAAACTTGTGTTTTAAATACATTCAATGCACACAGACTTAGATAGTATTGGATTCTTTTAATTGTGATGATTTATGCTTACATTTAACAAAAGCCTTACTATCCTAACTTACTTTTAACCAGGTTACAGATTGTTATGGTAACATTAAAAAGAAAATACAGTTGAAATAACAGCCTTTTTTTACATTATAGGGTTAGGTGGCAGTATTTGTTGTACATTTCTCTAAATGTCTTGTGTTTTTGTATTTTCTTTTTAATATTTAGCTACATATATTTTAAACTTTTAATATATTGTTTATTGTAGTTTTTTCTGTGAAAAAGCTGTTCTTTAAAGAGCCCCTATTATGGGTTTTTGAAAATGACCTTCCATGCAGTGTTCCAACACAGCTGTAAGGGAAGCGAAATATCCAGCTAAGGAGTAAATTTGAAAGTGGACCGTGTTTAAAACTATTGATTCATCTATAAAAGAGTCGACTCAGAGTGGTTCAAATGAATTGTCGTTGTAACGAATCTTAAGCCATGTCAGTGTGACGTCGATACAGAACTCAAGCCCCGCCCATTTGTTGTGCAGACCAGTGAAAATTTAAACACCCACCCACAAACACTTAGTGTTTATTTAAGTTAGTGTTATTTTCCCTACCCAAAGATGAGGCTGTAAAGAGTGGTTGAAGTTTATTTTTGCTAAATACCTCAGCATTATAGCCCCAGCCTTGTGCTGTGATCCCGTCATTTGTCTGATGAGTGCTTCAGCAATCTACATGCTTACAATAGGGCATTCGTCGGCCGTTTGTTAGAGGAAGGATCAGAAAAGACTTGATGTATGGGACTTTGTCAGAGCTTGACAGGAACTTTGCTGTACACAGTTCATGGATCAGTTTCTTCCTCCATTTCACAAGTGTAAGTAACTTAAGTGCCATTAAAATGGCTGCCTCCTTGTTTTCTCTAGCTTGCAAATGATGTATCTAATTGTGTTTTGTTACTTGTAACCGCCTGTACTGTATCTGGTTAACTCTTTATATTCTCATATCACATCTAAAACCACCGTCAGCTTTTCCTACACACGTGTGGCCGTCAAGTTTCAAAATAGCTTTTGCCACTGCGTGGATTAACACTGAATGTGTGTCATGGTTAATAATAGAGCAATTTGCTGGTGTTAAACTGCATTCCTTTAATGCACTCCTGCTTTGGGCTCACACATACACTCTGACTACTTCAAAACTGTTGATAAGTCATGGTAGGCAAGGCAAGGCAAGGCAAGGCAAGGCAAGTTTATTTATATAGCACATTTCATACACAATGGCAATTCAAAGTGCTTTACATAAACAAGAATAAAAGAAACAAGTAAAATAAAAATAAAAACAATAATAAAAATGCATAAAAACAAAACATAAAAACAGGTAAAATGTGATATAAAAGAATGAAGAAGAAGAGAAAAACATAATAGTGCAATCTGTCGGACGCAGCACAGTGCTCATTCAGTAAAGGCACAGCTAAACAGATGTGTTTTCAGTCTTGATTTGAATGTGCCTAATGTTGGAGCACATCTGATCATTTCTGGAAGCTGATTCCAGCAGCGAGGGGCGTAGTGGCTAAAAGCCGATTCACCCTGCTTTGACTGAACTCTTGGAACTTCTAGTTTATATGATC